TCCAACTCAATTCAAAATTGAAAGAAGCGCGTCAAGTAAGTCTTCAGGACTCACGCATATCGTTGGATGCAACGGCCAGAAGGCCGGATTGAACTGGCGACTATTCGCGGTCTCGACAAATCGAAGGAGCTGAGCGGTGATGGGCGTCCCGAGTCTGTCAACCGCGAACTTTGTCAAGGACACCGTCGAGGACTCCGCCGACGGGAAAATACATCCTAAGAGGGGCATGAATTTTTATCTCGTTGACTGGAAGGCATCCTTGACTCAGCGGCTGCAGAAATACTGTCGCGATCGAGCTGTGGTCGCACTTGGGCGGCGGGGGCCAAAATTGATATTACCAGGAGGCATCAAATCTCATGTCCTTGTGCCGCAACATGGGGACCGACGTTGAAGGGAAGAAAAAGCAAAGTGCTGTACTGTCAAATACAAAGTTCATATACACTAACGAAGTACAGTTCAAAAATACACGGCATCTATCGTACTCCTACATCCGTGAGAACGGGTTCCTTTCAACTATGCAACTCTTTCATACCGCCCAGAATGAATTCATCGCTTGAGCGGGCCCCGAACCCTCCGCCCTCTGGCGGGAACCTAGAATATCGATGCGGGGACGCCACATACTTGACTCCGAGTGAGACCGCGTTGGCCGCCCGTAGACGACGGGCGCCGACGGCTCCCGTGCTCCAGACGTCTCCGTCCGCGCAAGTACACTGCCCACAGTACTGGCCCGCGGCCGCAAGACCCTGGTGCGGTACTGCGTCGCCAGGTTGGGCATGCTCGCCTGGTGTGGGACGAGGGGGATCGTGCGTGGACGCGCACGGTCAGGCAGGCTGAGGTGGGAATGGGAGCCCTCTGCCGTTGTGGGACTTGCGAGGACCCAGGTGGGATTAACGACGAAGGGGACTTGCGGCTGCGGGAGGCGGGCCTCGAAACGGCCTGCGCGCCGCCGACGGATACAAACAATGGCGACGAATGTCAGCAACAGGAAGGCCGCACCCCCAAGGGCGCCGCCGAGCGCTGCTCCCAGGAGTTTGCTTGTTTTTCTCGCTCTGCCCACGAGGAGGTGTGCTGGGGGATGCGAGTTCCACGCCAAGGACAATAGCGGGACTTCTCCTGTGGATGTCGGAGACGTGGTGAAGAAGCGCCGGCGTGTCGTGGATGGTGGTTCAGAGGGAGCCACAGGAGCCCTGGGATCGCCGTTAGTCAATGTATTAAAGGGATGGTGGTTCCGCGCGCTCACGGGCAGAATGTCACAACGGCGCTGGCCTGCGGAACAGGATGGCTCAGTGAGACTCATAATAAGTGCGATGAGAGCTCCCTTACATCACGGGCGCTGCATTCCAGAATCTGCGGGAGACATGTCTTGTTAAGACCTGTTTCTCGGTGAGTGGCGCGGCTATATGAGTGCGAGGGATGTGTGTATATGCATACATTGTCCAGTAGAGGAACATCCTCCCGAAAAGCTGTGGAGAAATCATTTAGCCGCGATAGCATCATATTAGAAGCACCACAAACATAAAAGACACTGGGACCGAGAATGGCGTCCTGCGAGAGTCCTATATAGCGAGGTAGACAGCCACAGAGAGAATGACTCACGCAAGACTGCGTATGCGAACGAATGAGCCATTGCTGTCTGCCCCCCCAAGATTGATTTCGAGGGCTGTACAATTTAAATCTTCGGCCGGGCCACAGAAACCTGGTGTCCCGATCAGGACTCCGCTCACCCACGGCACTGTGCTACGAACCTTGGTCCAAGAAACTGTTACTTTGAGTTTTTAAGGACGCCGGGTGGAAATAGGAATGGCTCACACAATTCCTCTACGCGGAAAATTGGCAGATCCTCCGGATAAACTTCTGCCATTTGGTTGGATCATAGTCGGCTGTGAGTCAAGTGAGAAGGAGCCATTTTGCTGGAGCCACACCAACAGTTCCAAAACCGCAGCTAGATTGAGTTTGTAAATAGAACGGTTATTATATATATATATATGCCCACTGGTTCAGAAATCGAACAGAACCCGTGTGTTTTGTAGGCCCAGCGCTGCTAGAGGTGCTAGAGGAGTCCGCCGAGCATTGGGTAGGGGAAGCCCCGAGTAGCCCAGCTCCATTGGTTCGAGGACGCTCAACGACAGACATTTGGGAGAGCGACGTAGGAGCGATGAGGTGCACAGCAGCACCGAACCTTCATGTCAAAGGTGCAGTATTATACTGGTGGAGTTACTCGTCGTCAGACGCAGTTATCAGCTCGTTGGAGGGGGAATGGTCGCGCCGGGAATCATCAGCAGTATTTACCCTGCCTAGAATAAGTCGGTGTCTGAGCTCAGTTCCGAGTGGAATGGGGCCAGACAGATGTCGGAGAGCTGCATATGAGTGAGATATACCTGTGTTAGTCTTTGCTGTGTATGATGGTTGAAGAAGAAGAGCCACGTCGTGTTGCGATCAAGACACTGGCGGTGATCGCCGACTCGGAGCCGGCGTCTTCAAATCGTCCTTCAATATAACGCAAACCGCCCTCGATCTAAGCTCATAGCCGGTTGACCTCGAACCATAAATGCCGCTTCAAAACTACAGGGCTCAAACTACAGGGTTCAAGATAGATAAAAAAGCAAGAAGAAGTAAACACTCCAGAGTCCACTTTGGAACAACAACTTCAAGTTGAGATCATTTCATGGTAGTAACCCCAACAGTAACCTGACTTACACGCAGCGAATGTGTTCACAAGGCCGTGTAAGTATGTAACACATTGAGTGGCGCTCCCGATCGTAGCACGACAGAGCACGACTGACATCCACACATGGCGTCGAGCACTGGCAGATAAAAATCAGGCACTGGTTATTTTCCGTATCTCTCTCGGGTTACTTTGTAGATACAGTATAACGAAAATGTAATCGCTCGTTCTCAAGTCGACTTGACCCAAACTTGACCCGTGGAAAATATTTCGCGGTCCACGGTCCACGCTGACTGCTTGAAAGCGTGAGAACTTTGCAGCTGCAGTGCCGGTCCTTGCCGGTCTGACAGTGGGCCAAGCATAAGCACACAAGAAGTTTTCTCTTTCTTCCCCCACGACAGCCTCAAAGCCGCGATGCTCGTTTCACACAGGACTTTTATCGTCCAACCACCGAGCGGGAAGGTCTGAGCTTTATAGTCCCCTTGTTCGGTCCTCGATGGGCCCGGCTGTAATCGCCGAACGACACACCAGGAATGCGTCCATTTTTTTCATTGTCCCAAAGATCTTTCCAGGGAGGGCTGAAGAGAATATCCGCGGGCTTGGAAATGGTCGTGGGACTGGGTGGTGCATCTTTCTAACCCTACTCTGCATCTCTATCGCGCCAGACGTGCTGGCCGAATTATTAACGATTAGGCCACCGGGTCGGCGTCCATGTGGAATCGATAGCAAGGGGGCAACCCCGCCCCTGGGTCTCCGATCTGCTGACGTCGCCCGTGTCGAGCACCCGCTCTGTGTCCCGCTGATGCGTTCCCGCTCCAGGGCCTTCCTCCAGACCATGGGGTCCTTGTGGCCCTGCGTCGCAGGAGCGTTTGCTAATGGGTCGGGCCAGTCTATCACGACGGCTTCATCCTGGCGTAAAGGTTACGCGCGCCCGCCGGTCGGTCCCAAAAGGATGCTCGACAGTGCGGCGCCGCGGTGGGTTCGGGCTTCGTCCCGAACCTATTAGGCGGGTTCTGCGGGCGAGACGCCGGCGTACATGAGGAGATGTGGAGAGTTAACGGGTGAAGAATGTGTACCGTCCTTGAGTGCACTTGCGGCACGCAGCATATATTTCTTCGCTCCGGGGCGGGAGACGCTGCGCAACTCGATTCAGACTACTCTGAGGCTGTCGTGGCCCAATTTTTTGCTACCCCCCCGGCTCTTCGGAGTCTTCTCTTTCGTTTATCCCGCTCTTCGGAGCTGTCCGTCGTTTCGTGCGGCTCTTCATTTCTGTTCGTCCGCCTTCTACAAGCCTCTCTTACTTCAAGCCTCTCTAACTCTTTACAGGTGGCTTCTTTCTACGTCTGAAACTGTAGCGCTCAACCGCTGTGTACACCGTTTAGATAGCGTAATGCGTGTCACTTTCTCAATCTTGGACACTCAAATTGCACCGTCGTACCTCCTAATCAAACGAGAAGATCTCAAGCCCGAAACTGTATGTGACTGGTCATTTTCTTCGCATGTCGGCCCATGTCGCATGGAGTTGAACCCGTTCGGCAGTGAGCGCTAGTCAGCACGTACTGGACAAGCACTGATATAGTATTTCCTTCAGGAGCCCATCAAACTTTCTTCAACTTAGTAGGAAGACAACGGGCCATACAATACTTCGTTTAATACTTGGAGCTTCGCTACCTATCATTTTCTTCAAAATTCTGGCGTTTTATCTGAAAATTCTCGACGATTTGTTTGAGGGTGCTTGGCTGCAGCGGTGCTTTGATCTCAAACAGATTCTTCCACAGGTATTTACGCGAATCCACGACGAGTCAGTGATTGAAATTGCAAGATACCTTCGGCGTTGTGCAGCGAAGCAGCTGGAGTTGAGGCTTTATTTCTTTTTGGAATGGTTCAAGGTTGAACTTGATCCTGAGATAAATTCTTTAGATAAACCCAATACGGAAAAAGTTGCCAAGGGCCCTTCAACATGCGTGATCGCGAGTCGAGTTTGAAGGTTGAAACAATAAAGTGGAGGCCTATTTTTTCCTGCACCGGTCGAACTTGATCTAGGCAAATTTGTGGACACAGCAAGATTGCAAAAGAGAATTGAGGTAAGTTACGTACTTGGCTCGACATGCGGAGTCGGAAGAAAACTTGTTTGCGAAAATCTATGACGCATGACCGGATCGAACGGGCGCTGTCTCTCGGGCTGCAGCAATTGATGACCTTCCGCGACAACTCAGTGTTAGAAGGATAGCTTCGGCGTCAAGCAGCGACAAGTTAGAATTAGCCTGGCAAGCCGTCGCTGCGCCGTTCAGGAGCCTGGGTGTTAACATAGAATTTGTAGGGACCTGTATTCAACGGCCGTCTAGCTCAGTTGGTTAGAGCGTCGTGCTAATACGTTGTTTGAGTAACGGGTCACGCGAAGGTTTGGGGTTCGACCCCCACGATGGCTTGGAGTCTTTTCGTGCTCCTTTTACTCGCCTTTTGTGCACTAAGTCTCTACGTTTACTTCTTCTTTTCGATTTTTCCGGTCAAGTTACGTCGCCCCTCTTATGAGCCCTTTGCTTCGACCGTCTTGCTTCTAGCTCTTCGATCTAGCGCCTAACCATGTCCAGTATGACCTCACATACTTTCAGAATTATTGCTGCTCCCGTTAGAGTGTTGGAAGCGAGCCAAAGTTGAACAGGGAAATGCCGATCAAACACCAACTTGGAAAGCACAGCCACATCAATTCAACCTGTTGATTGTCCATTCAACCAATCTATGCTAAACGCGAATTCAAGGGTCCATCCCCTCGGTAGATAATAGGGCTGCTGAGATGTGCCCTACCGGATGGATGAAGTGCATGCGGAGAGTTGCCCCAGATCAGTGCATGAAATTCGACGAAATTTATAAAACGTCTAGATGTCTCTGGTTGACTTTTCAATCCAAGTAACAAGTAGTAATTTACTTTATACATTCACACCATCAGTTCCTTGTTTACGGGACGCTGAGAGCCACCGTACTATCAGGGAAACGTATTCTGAGGCTAACCTCATATCATGCGCATTGTATAAGTATCAACTCGAACCAACGGAGAACGCATCTTACTAATCCTCGACCAGAACCAGCTGGAGGACAAAAGCCAGAACGACGGGAGACTCAGTCATCTTCTTTCGAGGTACTCTATGTCATTCACTACAATATATACAAGTATTACTGAACTTCAAGAAATAGATCGTGTTGGTTGCGCTTCATTCTAGTCGACATCGGGAACGTCAACCACTTCCATCCATTTGTTAGCCGGCAAGGGAAACGTCACTGAAATAGATGAATGAATGACGGCTCCTCGAGTGAGACAGGAAAACGCATAACATACCCGCTTCGTGATTATCCGTACGATACACGACCATAACCCAGCCCTCTGCGCGCATCGTCCTCACCCGGTCTCTACTCAAGCGCCAGCTGACCTTCCTCCCAGGAATATCGACCACCTCTTGCGACGAAAGAAGATACACGGTGCCCCGTCCCATTTGCGTAGGACCTCCTTCGAGGATGCCGGATATGAGCCGCGCGAGCGCGTCCACGGTGAGGGTTTTGGACGGCTTGTATAGCAAAATATCGACGACGGGGTCCTGCACTGGCGCGGTGGCGAACATCGGCCCGAGGTCGGGGCCCTTGAGCTGCACCACGGCCTCGTAGACCGCGATATCCGTGTGGTTGCGCGCGAATTCACGCGGTAGGCTAACAGCAAAGGGAAGTCCCGCTTGCGACGTGACGAGGATGTTCTCGAACTCCGCCAGCCACGGGTCGAGCCGCACGCGGCGGGAGGGGACGCTGCGGGTGAGGTCGGAAAGCGGGATGGGGAACATTCCGAGGTAGGGCGCGACGTTGGTGACGAGGCGGTCGGAGAGGATCGTGTGGAGGAACTCGGCGAGCCAATGCGCGGGGTAGCCGACGGCGTGCAGGTGGGCGAGGAGCCGGACGAACACGACCAGGTTGTTCGGCATACGGACGCGGACATTCTGCATTCCTGGTGTTCCTGGGATACAGGTGTAGAGGAGCACACGCGTGAGCCAACGCGTAAGTTCCACGCGCGTGACCAACTCGCCAATAGGGCGGGGCAGCGCTTTTGGTCTGAGGGAGACGACACCCATGACACCGTCCAGGCGGATGGTCTCGCAGCCGAGGAACTTCGGGATGTCTTTGGGATGCAGCAGAGAATAGCTATGACGAAAATTAGATAAAGACGAATAAGTAGGGTAGGATGCGGCGAACTTGTGATTGAACTCAGCGTCGTCCTTCCAAATGCCGGAGTTCACGAGGCAGTTGGATGCGACCGCCGATTCGGGCTGCTCTTGGAGGCATGGGACGACGAATACCGCAGTGTTTAAAACCTGTCGTGCGTTTGTAAATAAGATGTGATCACAGAATGATTGGTTCTCACGCCGTGAGTGTAGTCCCTTCGTGGTATTTCAGCCCAGAGATGTCCAAGTTACGAAGGTCACTCACGGAATGTTACTCAGGTACGCCCTCGTGAATTTCCTGGGGAACTTTGCGGGCCGACTGGCGTCCGTCCCCAAGTTCATCTTACCCAACTCTTCCATCAGCCCACCGAGGATGATCTCCAGCTTGATGGAGCCATCGAGGGCCGTCAGCGCGTCGATCACGCCCTGAAAGAAGCGCGTCGTGTGCGTGTATACGGGGGACTCTGGCTCCAACGGCAGGTCTCCGCCTTTGTCAATACCAAAACGACGGTTGAAAGCATCGAATAGGCGGGGGAGGGACATGCCGTCGGAATGCACGTCGGGATAGCCCTTACAGTTTGGAAGACTTTTGTTCGAGAGTTCAGAATACTCGCGGTCCTGCTCGACGTTAGTCCGGTGGAGAGGAAAGAGGGAAAATAGCGGTACGCACGAAGAGGGTCATGTTGGGCTTCCAGGAGTTTTCTATCGTCGCTCTGAGCTGCAGGATCGTTAGAGTTGAACCAAACGTAGACACGGACAATGACAGACCTGGCTCTTGAGCCTATCGGCATAGGCTTTCCCCTTCCTATTTTTATTCCAGTGTTCGATCTCGGGATGCCTCTCCCACAATTCCTTGGGCGGAAGCAAGGCGCGCGTGACCTTGAACCAGGCCGCCTCCCCATTAAGTCGCGGGCGTTCATTCCCACTTAGATGCTCCTCGAGCAGCCTCTCCGCGATTTCCGCCCGCCGCTTTTTTAGCTCCTCCATCACGGTCTTGTCAGACCACGCGGGGTCGTCGAGCCCGCCCAAAGCGCGCGCCTCCGCGGGACCCCAGCCGTCCATGGCCGTCTTTATCACCCGCGAAGGCGTGTCGACGTGCTTCTGCAGCATCGCGCGATAGCTCGGCGACAGCCCGGGCATCTTGAGCATCTGCACAAACGATGCGCCGGAAGAGTCGGCGTTGAACATCGCCAGCATGCCACGTGCTGTTTTGGTGTTGTTCGCGGTGGTTTCCCAGTACGCGAGGGACGCAAGGAGGGCCGGGATCGCGTCAGGGTTTACATGCAGCCACGCAGGGAGGCGAGGCGGCTCGGCGGCCAGCCGCTCCTGGAGCGATTTAATGGTTCGCTGCTGGCTGGAAGGAAAATGAATATAAACACCACTCTATGAGCAGAAGACTCCGTACCGTGCATGGGCGTAGGGGGGCATGACGGCGCCAGCGTAAGTGTACATCAGCGTGGCCTTGATCTCGGCCAGTGTCGTAGGTGAGACGCCCGCCGTCATGCAGTCGTTTAGAAGCAGGAGGACGACAAGGTCGCGAGCGAGTGCACTGGGATGGATGTCCAGCAGTGTCAAGTGGATGCGCACCGAAGAGCGCTTGTCTTTAGGCAGCCCTTTGTACGCGCGATGAGCGCCGACGAGAGTCGCGAACATGTTTCTGGCTGGTCGACATCAGAAAGCGTTTCAAAAGATTTCGAACAAGACACATACCATCCCCAATTCCGCCAAACAAAAACGACAACTCGGATAGACGCGTCTTGCTGAGTGTATTTATTTTTAGTGGGTACGGATCGCGGGGACCCCAGTCATCGAAAAGGGAGAGCATCTCGTCCTGTCCCATGGTGTAATATTGTAGCATCGGGTTTCTATGAATATTGTCGTATTAGAACCATGGTTTAAAAGAAAAGAATGGGGCGCACACTCCACGGCGCGCGATCGGGACCGTCGCTAGACGCACGCGGGCCTTGTGTGCCTCAGACTTTTGGTCGCCATTTGTGGTTGCGATGGCACGCCACTCGCGCCACACACGCGCGCTCTCATCGTTAGAATCCTGCTGCTGCGACGCGACAGTCTCCAGTTCAGCGATCATCAGCGCATGCCTCTCGAGGAACGCTGCAATTATGGTGCCTCCGCGAATACCATGGGCCAGGGCCTTCGCTGCGCGGGTTGAAAGGCGCAGGGCAAGCGTCCCAATGTTCGCACCGCCGCCAGACAGCTTCCACGAACGAGAGATGGCCTCAAGGCAGGCTAAATAGTCGCCCATCTCGTATAACGCCGCACTCAGGTTTGCCGGGTACACGTTTTCTTGGGGGGCTGCCGCTTCCGCCTAAACACGAGTGACGATGTTAGAACACGGAAAGAACAAAGTAAAAAAGGGCGGCTGGACCTTCGCGTATAGTTCTGAGGCCCTGTGATTTGGTCAGTTGGATTCTATCGTATGATCGCAACTGTGGACGTACTCGAGTAGGTTGCCCTCTTTAAAGGCAATGTTGCCCTTATCCTTGAACGTATCCGCCCTCTGTTTGGCGGCAGACATGATCAGATGGATTGATGATGTTTCCAAAGAGTTCCTTCCGGTGGTTTTGTGATGGATCCGGAGGGTGCAAAACCACTGAAGGAAAGAAAAAAATTGTGAAGGAAGCGAAAACGAGAACTGTGGCTGTGGCTGTGGTGATGGGGGTCCTGTTTGGTTCTTTGATGGTATTAAATCTTTACCCCTATCTTACCTCCGCACTGTGTAGACAACCAAGCCTGCGATTCCGCCCGAATGAATTTTAAAGTAACATTGAGAGAAGAACTATAATTGTCGAGATGCCTGCAAATTTTGTCGGTTCAACAATGCGTACCGAATTCAATGTAAATTTGACGCCCGCGGGGTCCGCACAACTTTCGTTGACTCGGAACAATCCTGGTTGCAAGGGAAACGTAGGAAAGGAGGCGGTAACGCTAAGAGGCACATTCAGATTTAAACCCAAAATTTTACGACTCTACAGCGCGAGTTGAACATTTCGCGGCCGAAATCCGAATTCAATATCACCCTCTCCACCTGTACATCTCACCCAGATGTACCGATTATTCTGTAGTATGTAGGAAGGGTGTGAACAACGGAAAGCCAGATCTACATTGCGGATGTAAGAACGTGAAAATTGAAGGCAAGATTTCACAAAACAACTCACAGTGTACCATAGATATGACACTTTATCAGACTCCACCGTGTTAAAAATGAT